CTGAAGTGGGCGATGACCCTGGATTGTCCCGTGGGCCCACTGTCATCACAAGAGTCCCTGTAAGAGGGAGGCAGGAGGGTCAGAGTGACAGAAGATGTGACCACGGAAACAGAGGCCCACTGGCTTTGAGGGTGGAAGGTGCCCCGAGCCAAGGAATAGAGCAGCCTCTAGAATCTGGAAAACGCAAGGTGATTCTCCCCTGGAGCCTCTGGAGTGCGGCCCTGCAGACACCTTGATTTCGGGCCAAGGAAGCCCATTTTGGACTTCCGACCTCCAGGACTGCTCAATAATACATGAGTGTTGTTTTAAGCCACGCCACTTGTGCCCAGTTATTACAGCAGTAACAGCACACTCACAGCTGGAAGCATCGGCTGGAAAGTGGGTCTGAGTGGCTTGCAGGACCTCCTGGACCTTCCTCCTCCACAGGGAGCCAGGACAGCCCCGGCACTCAGTTCTCCCCTCTGTTGTTGGAACCAGATCTCAGTGTGGGGATGGAGCTTTTGTGGGGAGGAGGGCACACAATGGTCATCACCCCCAGGGCCCACTCCCTCTCGAGGGCCCTTGTTTCCCCTCCGACCCCACAGGCCTGCTTTTCCATCCTGGCCTCTGCCTCAGGCCCCTGGTCAGTGGAGCTGGGGCTTTGGGTCCCGCAAATGGCCCAGCAAGGAGATGTCCACTCGTGCCAGCCATGGGAAGGCTGTCCATAGACAGCCAGGCCCTTGTCCTTCTCTGCTGGCATAATCCCAATGCTTTTCTCTGCCTTACCAGAAACCCAGGAGGAAACCCCAGCCTAGAACAGAGAATTCTAGAGTGGGGGAGAAACTGGAGCAGATAGGTGTTTGGGAAGAGGAACCTGGGCAGTGCATGTGGGGAGGACATCGGGACAAGGGAGGCCTGAGACCAGAGACCAGGGTAGGTGCTACTGCACCAGTCCCAGCAATCAATGATGGTGCCCAACAAGGCACAGTCTGAGGGACAGGCATGAGAGGGATTTAAGAAGCAGATCTGGGGTCTCAGTACAGGTGTCAGTGAATCATCCCTTTCCTTGCTCCTCCTGAGTCTGAGCCATGTTCAAGATGGATCCAGGAGTCCAGCAGGTGGAAGCTGAACTCCAGCTTTTGTTACTGGTGAAGCTGGGTTGGGGGACAGCAACCTGAGAGGACCCTGGGTCAGTGGAGAGACACACTTTCCCAAAATCACTGCCCACGCATGTCCAGCCCGATGTTGGGTATCCAGCCAGGGCCAGGCTGAGTGGCATGGGTGTCCTGAGCCCGTGGCCAGGCTGAGTGGCATTGGGGCCCCTGGAGTGGGGCTGGGGGCCTGGGCACTCAGGCTGCCAGGCTTGGGGCCCGAGCATATGTCCCAGCATCTGCTCCCAGCCAGCCTCCCACTGCTCTCCCTGTGGAGCTCTGTGCCCACCCTGCCCCCACCAGCCCCCACCTCTGTTGTCAGGCCTCAGTCCCAGGAGAAAGGCTCTGCTCTTCTGAAGGCAGTGGACCTGCCTGTCCCCACGCACCCTATATTGATCTTCCTGGGGAAAATCAATAGCCCCAATATGTTAGCTCTCAAGTGGCGCTACAGTAAATTACTCCCGTCACTGGGCACACAACGGCTGCAACCTCCCCGCCCATTAGTGGGACATTAGGCCTCGTGTGAGGCTTCTCTGTGTGCTTTGAGATAATGAAGGCCGAGGTGTTGGTTTATGCCCCTGGCTGGGGGGCGGAAGGAGGAGGACCGGGACAAGAGCAGGCAGTGCTGGCAGTGCGGGCACCTGTCACCCAGCGCCCGGCCGGGGCTTGCTGGGTCAGGGAGGGGAGGGCCCTGGAGACACAGGGGCCCCCAGATGCATCTGGTTGTGGCTTTTCCCACTTGGGGCTCCACTGATCGCAGGGTCAAAGAAACCATAGCATTTGGGCCATCGTTGCCCTCCAGCCGAAGGCCACCGGGAGCACACCTGTGGTTGAACAAGAGGGATTTACGCTCCTTGCCGTGAGGCACACCACGGGCTGTGGGTGTGTCAGGAGGAGTCAGGAAGGGCTTGGGGTTCAGCCAGCGTTGGGGGAGGGGCTCTGCTCTGGGTTGGATGCTGTCAGGAAGCAGGGGGCCTCTGACTGGGCACCTGTACCAGTCTCCTGGGGCTGTCCTAACAAAGGACCACAAACTTGGTGGTTTAAAACCACAGAAAATTATTTTCTCACAGTGTGGAGGCCAGAAATCTGAAACCAAGGTGTTGGCAGGGCCACGCCCTCTGAAGCCTCCAGAGGAGATTCTGCTCCAGAGCCTTCTCATAGCTCCCAGTGTGGCCTGCAGTCCTGGGTGTTCCTTGGCTTGTGGCCACGTCACTCCAGTCTCTGCCTCCTTCTTCACATGGCCTTCTACCTGTGTGTCTGTCCTCTCCTCTTCTTGTAAGGACACCAGTCCTTGGCTTTAGGGCCCACCCTATCCAGTCTGACCTCATTGTAACTAATTACATCCGCAAAGACCCTATTTCCAAAAAAGGTCATGTGCTGAGGTTCCGGGTGGATGTGGATTAGGGGGGACGCCATTCAGCCCAGTGCAGCAGCTTAATGCATTTTATCCAGAAGGAGGGCAGACTAGGCGAGGTTCCAGCCCAGATTGGTCAAAGATGGTCACCCCTTCCATCAGCCAGGATGGGGTGCTTGGTCTTTTTGAGGTTTGGACCGTGTCCATGTCTGCTTATGTTCGGGTGTGACAGAGAGCTCTTGTTTGGTCTTGAGCCATCACGGTCACAGTGTGGCCTGGGCCAATGGTGATATTCTCTGAAATTATGTCCAACAGGAGGCCCCAGCTGTGAGCACCAGACCAGCTCCCAGAGGTCAGGGGCTGCTGTCTTAAGACTCTACAGGACCCATGTCCTTTGCATCGTGCCTTCACCTACAACAGAGACCAAGTGGACACTGGAGTTGGGGACAGAGGAGGGCGGTTTGGACATGTGGATCTGTCATTTTGTTTTGGAGCACCCCGAGGAACCCCGTGGCAGTGCCTTGGGATAAGACGTTTCTGTGCCATCCCGTTATCAATCATAACAGCTGTCCCAGGGACCCGCCAAGGGCTTCCCAGGCATAGAGCTACTCCTCTCAGCAGCCTTTGAAGGGCACACAGTGCCCATTTTACAGGTGAGGAAGTGGACGATCAAGGGGTTAAGTCACCTGTCCAAGGAGCCTTATTAATGTCACCAATCCAAGGCAGTCATCAAGACTTGAGGTGGGCTTAATGGTCTCTTGGAGGCTGCCCCGCCCTGGGGTGAAACCCCAACCTGTCCCCACCTCCCATCTGTGCCCCCCACTCTTCTGTCTCAGGGCAGCCTGTACCCAGGTGCCCTAAAGCATCCCGACCAGGTGGCTGCATCAGCCACAGTCAGCAGCTCCGCCCCTAACCTCAGGACTCTGATCTCCATCTCCTCTAGGAAGCCCTCCAGGCTGCACACCAGGATGATTCTGGCCCATCCTCCCCACACTTTGAGCTTCCTCCTCCTGCCCACAGCGGGTGCTCCTGAGGTTCTCTGTGGGCGAGTTGTTTGGTAGTGATTCTGGGTGGGGTTCTGGGGTGGAACAGGTGGGGCAGGGCCCAGTGAGGAGGACCTGGGCACACAGGTGCCTCTGTTGACACAGTAGCTCTGGACACAGTCATGGCTGGGAGCTGAGCCATGGCCGGGTGTCCAGGGCTGGGCTTCCCAGGGTGGGGAGGACTCCCAGATGTTGCTGAGCTCAGAACACCTCCACCTGGCCACCCTTGCCCTCATGTCTCGAGAGTTCCTGGGGGGCGCAGAACTGGTCCCCAAGTGTGGTGCTTCTCCTGACAGGAAGCAGGCACAGGAGAGGGCCGCTCCAGAGGCAGAGATGCTGAACTTGGGAGGCAGCACATTACAGTTCACAAGGTGGCCTCGTGGTCTGATTTTGTCACCAGGTCATCCCTTACACACATCCCCAGAGTCTGTGATGATGCCTGGATGCCCCTATGTGGTCTTCAGACAGGACGACTCAGTAGAGCCAGGGCCAGCTTCCCTATGAGCCAACTGGGAAACGGGGCAGAGCAGGGAGCCCCGGGACATCCTGATGGACACCTCCCAGCCTGACACCTGAAGGTGGAGGGACAGGAAGGTCCCCAGTAGCACGCTGCAGCCTCAGTCCACATAGAGGACGGTGGGCTGGGCCGTGCACACGTGATTCTGCCGGCCGGGAGAGAGGGATGTGTCCGGGGGGCCGGACGGCCTCCGAGAGAGCCGCTGGCAGGCCCTGCTGAGCTGGGTGAGGGATCGCGGCCTTGCAGCTGAGCAATAAGCAGAATAGCCTGTCCTGCTTAGCAGTTTGGCCAGTCCGGGCCGAGCGGCTCCGGGTGTAGACGCGGCCCTTCATGCGCAGCGCGGAGCAGCGGAAGGCCCAGGACGCGGGTGGGCACAGGTCCCCGACGCCGGGTGCCCCGGCCGGGCGGGCAGGACTGGCGAGCAGGCTCTGTGCTCCCGGGGCCCCCTCTTGGTGGGGACACTAATCGAGGGGACAAGACGACTGCTGCGGCTAAAAGTCCTATGAAGAGAGCCAAGCAGTATCGCAGGCCGCGGGAGGAGGCGACCAGGAGCCGAGCCGGCACGGCGAGAAGAGTGCGGGGCGTGGGCCGAGGCGCCGACCTCCGGCGAGCCCGGCCCCCCGAGGAGACCCGCTCTGAGGCGAGTGCGTCTGAGGACCACGCCCCGCTCCGCCCCGCCGACCGGCCTCAATCCCGCCGCCGCAGCCCAGGGACCGGCGGCTAGTTCTACTCGGGGCCCGCGGAGAACTACACTTCCCGGCATGCGCTTGCTGGCCGCCGGGGCCGGACCTGCGACGGAAGAGGCCGCCGGAGAATGCGCGTCATTTCTGTTGCGCGATGGGCCCACGTTCTGTAGTCGTGAGCGGAGGCCCGGGACCGCGTCCGGTTTCCGGTTTCGCGCGACGGAAGTGACGCGCGCGCTGCGCCGCGGCTCCGAGTGCGGAGCCGGGGGCGCGATGACCTGTGTCCTGTGGTCGCCGGCGGCCGGGTGAGCTGCCCGTGTGCTCGGCGGGACGGAGGGCGGGAGCGGAGGGCGGGCGCGCTCACTCTCCCTCTCTTCCAGGGCCGTCCGGGCGCTGAAGCTCGCGCGCTGGGCTTCCCGAAGCCTGCATCCGCCGCCCGGGGGCCGGGCTCGGGCGCCCGCGGCTGGGGGCGAGGAAGAGGACGACCCTGACCGCCCGGTTCAGTTTTCCTCCAGCAGAGCCAACCCGTCCCGCTGGACGGTGGAGCATTCCCTGGGATGGGAACAGCAGCGGCCCTGGTGGATGGTGCTGCCCTTCAGCGTGTCCCTCATGGTTCTGGTCATCTGGTGCTTCCTTAGGCAGGAGACCAGCGCGGACCTGTGGTTGAGACGGGTGTTGGAAGAAGAGGTACCAGAGCCCGGAGACCATGCTGAGGAGCCTGGAGCCGCGGCTGCCCACGGGTCGAGAACTTAACGGGCTGCCCGCGGGGCTGGCAGCGAGGGAGTAGGCAAGCCGCTCTCAGGCCTTGACGCCTCGTTTGCCCGTTTCTGTCCCGATTATGTGCTTCCCTAGACTGAAGAACTGGATGGCTCACCTGGCCACGCTGACCCGGTGAATGGGGAGCAGAGTGTCAGCGGGTCGGAACCAGCTCTTTGCCTGATACTTGAAGGCCAACGAATACGTCCAAGAGACTTTCCAGATCCATAGGAAAGGTTTTGGCTGCCGCGTGTGCTTTTGGATTTGTGGCGTCTTTGTACAGTATTATCATGTTTCAAAACGATTCTGGTGACACTTGTAATCCAGTTTGCAGGTCATTTGGTTTCTGAGACAGAGTAATTGGCAGAAGAGTTAAACTTTTTATTTTATAAGATACTGTGGTGTGTATAAATTGGTGTTAGTTTTACAAATTAACAAATTGACAAATTTTAATTTGGTCAGGTAGAATTAAGCCAATCCCCTGTTTTTTTGCATCTTATTAAAAAAAAGGGAGCCTTCTAATGCTTTTTCAATGTCTTTGTTTTTCTTGTTTTCCCAGAATGGGAACTGAGGAAGGAAACCTAAATGTAAATTGTGGAATACATTATCAAACGATACCAAAAATGGTGACCTTCCTCAGCTCTCTGCAAATTTTTATTTTTAGCAAGGCAACAACTTTCTGAGTGGAAGAGTGTTTCTTTGACAAATTATAGGCAATATTTTGAATATCTAACTGATAGGTTTTTTAAGTACTACTTAATAAGAAACCTGCTTAATTCCGAACTAAATACAAGATGCACAAAGGGAAGATTTTATTTACTTAAGATCTTGGCAGGTCTGTGGTGCCAATGTTAACTGGCAGTTTCTCTCACTCTGGTGTTTGAAGACCAATGGCTGTATGCCAGGAAATAAGCTTCTCCCGAGGCCTCTCTGCTGAAGTGCTCTAAATGTCAGGCACACCTTGGTAAATTATGCTCTCAGGGAGGTGGGGCCAATACAAGGATGTTCATTTTTAAAGATGGAGACACCAAGGTTTGGAAAGATGGACCTAATCATAGCTCAGGCTGCATTGCCAGTCCCAGCAGGAGCAGAGAACTGAGCGTCTTCTCAGGCCTCGCTTGGCTGTAACCTGTTTGGTTGCAGACTATTTTGTTGGAGCAACAGTCACTCAAACCCGAACCCTTACTTTGCTCTCTCTAGCTCCTGCAGGAAAAAAAAAACTAATGAGAAGAATTTTTGTTCTAATTAAAAGTAACTCTCATGACAAAAGCAATATGATTTATCTGGAAAGTTACACACTGTAATAGGCAAAAGGAAGAGAATAAGAAACATCAACAATCCCACACCTAGAGGCGATCACTGTGAACACTGTTACCTTTCCAGATTGTTCTCGTTTGTATATCTGCAGTTTTTCAAAAACACAAGAGAGGTAGTATTATTTTTGATGACGCTTCATACCACATGCACCGATCCTGAGTGCCTCCAGGGTGGCTGTCAGGGCTTTTCTAGTGCATGACTTCATGCCCCAGACGTGGATGGGCTTTGTCATGAGCAAAAGGATGACCCAAGGCCAGCAGGTGACAGTGTGGGCAGACCCTCCCCACACCTGGGGTTTTCAGGGAGTGGCAACAGAGCAAGTGGATAGGTGAGCTGTTATTTAAATCCTTTTATTATGCAACTGTTTTTGTACTATGCTTGTCTTATTTCCCCCACTGGGCTGTAGCTTTTATTTTTCCCAGGGTGCTTAGCACATTGACTTCCCCAGATAAGCCCCCAAGAAGGATTTGAGAGGGAGAGGGCCAGTGTAAGCATGCTAGACCAGAAGCAGTTGCACTGATTCGTGAGATGAGAAATTGTTGGGCAGAAGGAGGAGAAAATTGTTAACAAAAAATTCAAGGAAGAGGAGGGTAAATGGTCTCATATCTTCTAAGCAGCTGAGCAGTCTTGGAAGGTTCTGGCAGTGCTGTGCGTCCCTCCTCCCCACCCCCCCAAACTAAAACACTTCTAAATTCACAGTGAGAACCCTGGTGTTATTCTGTGTGTCTGGGTACTACCGCAGCCTTTTAAGAAAATATTCTTCAAAGGCATGAAAATGACACTAAATCTTTACAGCCTGTTACGGTTCTCTTTGATCTCTTCAAGGAAGATGCCTCTTGGGTGAGGAGGAACATAAGGTGTCTACTCCCACCTCTACAGCAAAGATCCCCAGATTTTTTTTTTTTTCTCCCCAAAGCCTCACTACATGGTTGTATATCCTAGTTGTAAGGCCTTCTAGTTTTTCTACGTAAGCCATGGCCACAGCATGCCAACTGACAGATGAGTGGTGTGGTTCCGTGACTGGGAAACGAACCCTGGGCCACCGAGCCAGTGACAGTGCCAAACTTTAACTGCTAGGCTATCAGGGCCAGCTCCAGATTTCTTCATCTTGAGCCTCACCTTCCTTTTCTGAGCTTGGGGCAGCTCTCTATACATCTCTATTGGACTTCACAGGTCCCTCAAACCCCTTAGGTCCAAAACGGAGTTCATCTCTCCTCAAATCTGTTTCTTTGTTCTGTATCCCTCTGAGGTAGGGACCTTGGAATATCCCAGACTTCTTCCTCATTCCTCGCATGCTGGCAGTCTTCAAGATCTGTTTATTCCTCCTCAGAAGAATTCATGGGCCCTGTCCTCCCCTGCTTCCTTCTCCTGCTTGATTTTCTTTGAAAATATCATGTTGATTTCTTGCCATTTTAATTTCCAGGTTTATTTTATTTTAATTTTTTTTATTTATTTATTTTTCCCCCAAAGCCCCAGTAGATAGTTGTGTGTCATAGCTGCACATCCTTCTAGTTGCTGCATGTGGGACGCGGCCTCAGCATGGCCGGAGAAGCGGTGCGTCGGTGCACGCCCGGGATCTGAACCCCGGGCTGCCAGTAGCGGAGCGCCCGCACTTAACCGCTAAGCCACAGGGCCGGCCCTAATTTCCAGGTTTAAATGTAATATTTGCAGAGGTAATAATTCATTTAGAAAAGTGAACATATGAAGAAGATCATCATTCATCCCACCAGCAAGTGATCGCTTTTGTTATTTTACTGTATTACTTGTATTTCAAAAAATAACATATTTGGGAACAAATATATGAACTGTGAGATCTTGCTTTGTTGTTCACTTAAATAGCATTTTTCATGTCACTAACAGTTCTCAGGAAACCTTGTCATTAAATCATGGCATCATACTCAGATTTGAACCATTTCCCCACTGCGAGGCTGCTAGGTGCTCTCAAGTTTTTGCTAAATAACTCTGATAATTATCTTTGTACATACATCTTTGTCTGAATCTGATTCTTTTTTAGGTTGGAGTCCCTAGAAATGGAACAAATTATTTTCCATAAAAGGCAAGTCCCTGTTTGCCCTACCAGCCACACTTCTTCAAGAGCTTGTCTTGGGCCAGCTGGGTGGCCTAGCGGTTAAGTTGCCCGCTCTGCTTGGGTGGCCCGGGGTTCTCGGATTCCATCCCGGGCGTACACTGGCACAGCGCTTGTAGAGGCGTGATGTGGCAGCGTCCCACATAAAGTGGAGGAAGATAGGCACGGACGTTAGCCCAGGGCCAATCTTCCTCAGCAGAAAGAGGAGGATTGAAGAAGCTTGTCTTGCTGAAGGTCACGGGCATTTCGTGTTTCGGTTCAGAATAAAAAAAAAAGTCTGCCCACTCCATGGGCTCTTCGTTGTTTTCATTTGCATTTTTTTTTTTTAATTACTAGCCAGGTTTACCGCTTAAAAAAATGTCTTATGTCACAATTTACAAAATAATGTACTCTGGTCCCGGGTTCTCCCTCCTAAAATGCACACCCTGTCTCCTCCCCCGAGCCCGCTGAGCTGTGACCCTGTCTGTGGGGGCTTCCTGGGGCCCCAGCGGCTACTGCTTGCTTCCCTGAGTTCTCTGTCTGTGCATCCCTGCTCAGTTGATGGGTGTGTGTTGGGGGCGAGTGTCTCCCCCTTGACTGGGAGCCTTAGACTCATTTTTAAAAATCAGCTTTATTGATATATAGTTCACGTATTATTCAATTCACCTATTTAAAGTGTTTAATTTAAAAATGTCTGGTATGGGCCCGCCCGGTGGCTTAGCGGTTAAGTGCACACGCTCCGCTACTGGCGGCCGGGGCGGCCGGGGTTCGGATCCCCGTTGCGCACTGAGGCACTGCTTCTCTGGCCATGCTGAGGCCACGTTCCACATACAGCAACTAGAAGGATGTGCAGCTGTGACATACAACTATCTGCTGGAGCTTTGGGGGAAAAAATAAATAAATAAAAATTAAAATAAAATAAAAATAAAAATGTCTGGTATATTCACAGGGGGCAACCATCACCACATCTAATTTTAGGACATGTTCGCACTCCCTAAAAGAAACTACGGACCCATGAGGAGTGGCGCCCCATTTCCCCCCATCTCTCCCACACCCAACCCTCAGCAATTGGATCCCTTCTTTGCGGCCTCAGCACCCAGCCCGGGGGGTCAGAGCCGGTGAATGAGTGAAGTGCGAGCGCGAGCAGCCTGTGCAAGCTGTCTCGATCCGGAGGACCTGTCGGCTCCGACTCCTCCGGGGGCCCAGCTCAGGGTCGCACAGGGCGCTGTCAGGGCGCGCAGAGTGCGCGGGCCAGGAGTGGTGGGGTGAAGGCGACAGTGGGAGTGGGGAGACTGCCGGGACGAGGGGCCGGGGGCCCTGTGCGCGCAGGATGGGGTGTGGACCACGGGGAGCCAGCGGGCGTGGGGCGATGCTGTACACGGGAGATGCAGGAACGGCAGCGGCGGCGCGCGCGGGGTGTGTCCCTGGCGGGGCCGGGTCGCTGCGGTCCGTCGCGCGGTGGGGTCTGGGGTCCCTGCGGCTCTCCGCCGGGTGCTGGC